AGCGAGAGGAATCAAATCAAACCTAAATCAAATCAACAGCAAGAGGAGCAAAATCAAACAAAGAAGCGAGAGGAATCAAATCAAACCTAAATCAATGGCATACCTGATTTGTGTTGGACAATATGAATTGATATGAAATCAAACAGAGAAGCGAGGGGAACAAAATCAAACCTAAATCGATGGTATACCTGATTTATGTCTTCGAGTGATAACCACAAATAAAACTTGCATCTCAAGAGTATGAATGCCTGAATTGTTGCTTAGGAAAAAGGAATTGTCTGCTGCTTGGGGAAATCTTGGAGACTGAATCGGCGTGCGATAGAGAGAGCCGGTCGTTGGGCTTGGAGGCAGTGAAATGAAACATCTACACCACCATTGTTATGCAAAATGAGGTCTGTGAAGAAGAAATACCCTCTGCTTTCTAACCCAAAATGTTGTTGGTCGCAGACAAATGATACATAAGAAAAGAAATTTTTTGGTCTTGGTGGGCGCAGAGGTAGGAGAAAGAAAAGAAGGAAACCGGAAGAAGAAACCGGCCCAAAATGGGTAATTTTTGGTGTTTGAAAACYATTGCATAAACAACTTGTACATTATGCATAATAATTTGTAATTAAGAGTTTTTTAAATTTGTTGCATAAAATGATGGTACTCTAAGCTTTAAAACTTGTACTTAAGATATAGGTCTAAATGCTTATTAATGTAGTATAGATAACTATAAAAGTATAAATCGTAAATATTAAGAATATTTTTTCACAATATATATAATATATAATAATATAACTAAATAAAAAATTATTCAATATTGAACTCATTTCGAAGGTATTAATGAGACTATTGTAATGGTGTAACTTGTTAAAATAGAAATGTATTTTTTAAATATGTTTTAATTGATATACGATTATGTATATTAATTTGATAAAGATTTAAAATGAAATATTTAAAAGTAAAGAACGTAAAATAAATTAATAACTAATTATAGAGGTATAAAATGTAAATTTAAAATTATAATTTAAAAAAAATCGGTCGTGAGAGAGTGAGTGTATGTATAAATGTGAATATATGTGAGAAGAGGAGATGATAAAAAAGTAAAATAAAGGGTATCTTCATCATTTAGTATATCAAGACTTTTAAAACTTTTATTAAATTTGCTTTATAAAATAGTATTGATAATAATAGTGATTTGTTAGTATTTCATAATTCAAATAAGAAATTATAGAAACAACATAAAAGATAATATTTTTTAGTTATTTTATTATCATCACTCCGGTACTCGTTCACGGTTTTTTTTAATCACATAATAGATCCCTTACTTGTATTGTTTAGATCTCTTGTATTTCTTGAAAATTGATTCGATTGATGGGATTTGGCATGATACTTATAAGATCGATGAGATTGATGTTCAAATATTTCTTCTTAGAACGTATTCTTTTGACCCCATAGGCGGGACCACCGGTATGAGTCAGCGACTACCCCCATCGAATTATTTGAACCTACTCTTTATCAAAGGGATCAAGGGTATTTCCAACACGAAATATAATTGGTGTTGAATTAGCCGAAAATCAAATCAGGATCAACTAGGACAAAATTAAAGCCTTGGGTCGAATTCTTCTTTGGTGTCAAGGTAATCGCCATGAATAAGTCATCGACCTCGGGGAATATAGAAGAATGGGACCCATATGCGGCAGACAATACATTGTAGATATAAGTTTTTTGCTTATGCTATATTTTGCTAAATGATCTCTCATAGGGTGTGGATCGGGTAGGCCGGGGGGTTCGGGCGGGAAAATCAAAAACTCGATCGGATTTCGAAATCAAGCCCCGACTTTTAGGTTTTCGGATTACTTTGGGTTGGTCGAGTTTCGGGTTGAGGTCGGTCGGATTCGAGTTTAGTTATAATGGAAAACACATACATCCAATCGATTTTGACGATGAATTCAATCAATTTAGAGAATGATAAATCTATAGTATGTTTATAGATTAGAAAAAAAAAACACGACCGACTAAAATTTTTAGAAGATAATCTATACTATATTATAAAACATTTAATAAAAACTTTTAAAAACAACCTTTCATGCACGAAATACTGTTTATTGATACATATTACTTAAAATTCAAGATTATAAGTAAATTATATGTATGTACAACTTATTAAACTTCATGTTTAAATTTATGTAACTAACTGCAAATAAACATATTCAAATACACGATAAACATTTTATTTTAAATATAAAAAATTCTAAAATATAATTAAAATAATCATTTAGTTCTAACAGAATGCTTAATTTGATACTAATATCAATATAGGTTTTTCAAAATGTTATAATATTTTATTCAAAAATAAAAACGTTATCGTTCTCTCAAAACCACATAAAACCGTATTATATCGACATAAATAAAGAATAAAACGGAACTTTAAAATCAAGATGTGTCCCGATGCATTGCACGAGTACCCTTCTAGTTAGATAAATAAGTATATTTATATAGTACTTAAAATATACATGTACATTTATATTTCGGGTTTTCAAACAGGTCGGGTGGCCAAAAATCAAACTCTATCCGAACCCAATTTTTTCCAAAAAAATCAGTTATCGGATTTCAAGACATTCAGATTTTACATAAATATCTTATTTTCCTATACTTCTTTTCACATACATAAATATAAAATTCATATTAACGAGGTCCCTAAAGGGACACTAATGAAATAACGCATTTAAAAGGCTGTTTAATCTGAAATAGACAAAAATGGTACTGTAATGCTAAAATTTTGGGTTTCCACCAGGTGGTATTTAGTGACAAATTGGATCAGAATGTGCAGATTTTTCTTTTGCATTACCTCAACGTGACATGAGCATGGAACTTTAACTTTAGCTGATTGTGACCAAGAAACCACCAGTATTCTTTGGTGATGCCTTTGTGATTTGATCTAATAGTGTTCCATTGGATAAAAAAAAAATTAATAGAAGCCCACTAGATAGGAACAAATTTGATAAAGGTCCAGTAAAAATCAGAAATTGTTGAAGAAACAAACTCATTTATTCTGGTGTGGATAACAAACAGACCTATATTTCTTGGTTTTAATAGGGTTCAGGTTTGGATTCGAATTTCAGATCATCCAAATTTTGGACATCCCTAATGTTATGATACAAGCATTAGTTTTGAGAACAAGAAGAATAGATGAAATTTTATCCTATCAGTTCTAAACAACCTTGTTTTTTAAGGTAAAAATCTATAAAGATATTAATTAGTACTTAACCGGACGACTCAGGCTAAAACGTTTACTTGATCGAGGAGATATCTAATCCATTTTATAACCACCATTTCACCTTCGGTATCCGACGGCATTGATGATGGTGGTTGTAGAAACAGATTCTGCTTCAAACCATACGTTTCCTGATCAAATCATCATCGAAAGCATGTGAACAGACAAACGGATTCCTACCATGCACCGACGGCGTTGATGGTGGTTGTAGAAGCAGATTCTGCTTCAAACGTTTCCTAATGAAATCATCATCGAAAGCATGTGAACAGACGTACTGATTCCTACCGTGCACCACCACCGCGATCGGAAACCTCTTCCTCGTTATTGTCTACGTTTACCTCATGTACCTCGCCGCCACTTTAATTATAAATCGATCACTTCATTGTTAATAAACACTCTTACCAGGACAATACTTACTCGGGTATCATTAATAAACACTCTTACCCAGATAATACTTATTCGGGTCGATACTCCTGTCCGGACATGTAAACGACCCCTTAATCGTTTACTATAAGTAGGTATCCTCAAATTGTTAAATCCATAATTACTCTTAGTTCATCTTGGTAGCTTATTTTTCTTCACGAAGTTGAGAATTGGAAATACCAAGGGGGTATTTCCAAGTTGAGAATTGGAAAGGGGGTAGGATTGAACCAAGAAAATACCAAGGCATTGTTTTTGGATGATCGGTTGATTTGATTTACTTGCCATTTGCCAAGGCCTTTTCGGGCATTCCCTTTGCTTGCGAGTTGCGAGGCCACGCCTCCCAACAACTAGAAATCAGGATACGATCCAACACCAGGGTACCAAGGCATTCTTACCAGCACCACAACCTGGTGTTCGAAAAAAACCCAAACCCCAATCTCAGTTTAGGTTCATTATGATGTATCGAATGTAAACTCTGCAAAAAGCAATTGGGTTCACTTATGGATTTCTATGAGGATCACCAGGACTTCTAGATGCACTTCGAGGCATCAACATTTTTAATGGTAGAGAAGACTAATCAACAAATAAAGATCCACGTGTACGTGTACAAGTTAAATTTATATAACCAAAGCTTGGTACAGTTCACACACCAAATCATTACATTGGATGTTATCAAACAGATGACCCCAAGCATTACATCGAACAATTTGGGGACAAACCCATCACGACCCTACGTTTATTACGTACGAAACACAAGACACACGTAAGAAGTAGAAATTCTAACCAGAAATTTGAATCGATTTCACATCAGGTTTCTTCACTTCCTCTTTTGGTACAGTAATCGTAAGCACTCCATTCTCCATTGAAGCCTTCACCTGCTCCAATTTCGCATTCTCTGGCAACCTGAACCTCCTCGTGAACTTCCCACTACTGCGTTCCACTCTGTGCCATGTATCATTCTTATCTTCCTTCTCAACATTCCTCTCACCGCTGATCTGCAAGATCCTGTCGTCTTCAACCTCCACCTTCACTTCTTCCTTCTTGATCCCTGGAAGATCAGCCTTGAAAACGTGTGCTTCAGGGGTTTCCTTCCAATCCACACGAGTGTTCACCAAAGCAGAGGTTTCCCTCCAAGAATCAGATCCAGATGAAGTTGGAAAGGGGAAGTCTTTGAACGGGTCCCAGATATCCATGGCAAATGGGTCGAAGATGCTGTTTCGTCGGCCACCAAAGAAGCTCGGGATGATCGACATCTTTTGTCTGCAAATGGATGAATATAAGTAATGTAACCTTAATCTTAAACCTTGGTGAAGGAATAGTGGGAGCATCGGTATTTATAGTATTCATGGAGGAGATTTCAGGGACGTTCCGGAAAGATCGGTAGCATTCTTCCGGTACCCAGTTAAGGCACTTTCTCGAAAGATCTTTTGCATTCTTTCCGGTAACCACTTGAGCACCTTCTGGAAGTGGAAAGATCTGGTATCATCTAGTGGTATTAGTATTTACATTCATAACCGTACATGTTTACACATACATACTCTTTGATAGTAATATAATAATTTGTTAGTATTTCATAATTTAAATAAGAAATTATACAAACAATATTTTAATCATTTTATCATTATTTTTTTATGCTACTAGATGACGAAATAAAGATAACAATCTATCAATAAGGGGCCGTTTACTGAATACTTACTTGATAATTGCTTATCGGATAAGTTTTTTTATTGGATAAAATGAAAATGGCCAAAAAAATTACCGGGTAAGAGCCATGAAAATGATGGAGAGTCTTACTTAGTAGTGAGAATGACGACTCTTACTCAAGTAAGCATTTACCCCGTAAATTATTGCATTCGATATGTTTTGATGTACTAAAATTTTACGCATCAAAATAAATCATAGTGTTGACTCCTATAGGTAAGCGTTTACCGGATAAGCAATTGGGTAAACGGCTCCTAACTAAAAATAAAACATTGACGGTCTGCTAACAAGTCAAAGTTCCATATTGGTATGTCAAATAATACTTCAAATACCTACTAGTCATGTATCCGCGCAATGCGGTGTGAGCCGTGAATTTTAACGATTTTGAAGTTTCACTTGTTTTATTAGAGAATATTTAATAATGATATAAGTTACACTTGGTCTTTACATATCAATACAATTTGAATAAATAATAGTTATGGTTCTAATGTAGTCTATCGATGAAAAAAATTGTATGACAGTTTAAAATCTAATATATTCAAAATCCAACATATTTAAACGACTTCACAAATGTATTCGATTTACACTAAGAGCAAAGATTCTAACCCCCAACTAAAGATTCTAACCCCCAACTAAATATGTACACGGTCGGAAGATTCTAACCCCCAACTAAAGAACTGTTACAAATAATGAAGAAACTAGTAGATTAAAACATAAAGCAGTGTAAGATAAACCAAATTGATACCCAAATATTCCATTTCATAACTTGCTACTCATACTTCTTCTGCTTCTGGTAATCAATCGAATCACTATTTGCAACCCAGGATTCTATTTATCATCAATCCAGCCCCTGCTCACTTCTTTTCTTTTTATTATCACTGAATATATCTCTTTACTTGTTTAGATGTCTCATATTTCTTTAAAAGTGATCTGATTGATGAGATTTGGAATGATCTTATTGAATCGATGAAATGGACATTCAAATTTTTTTTGTCAGAGCGTACTGATTTGACCCCATAAATAGGACCACCGGTATGGGTCAGCGACTAACACCATCGAATTATTTGGGCCGACTCCTTATCAATTGGATCAAGGGTACTTCCAACAAGAAATATAGTTGGTGTTGGGTTAGTCGAAAATAAAATTAGGATCAACTAGGACAAAGTTAAAGCACTAGGCCTAACTCTTCTTTGGTGTCAAGGTAATCGTCATGAATAGTCATCAACTTGGGGGAAAGGTTAGAAAAATGAGATCCATTATGCGACAGACAATGCACTGCAGATATAAGAGTTCTTCGGCGAAAGCTGCTTATGACATATTTTGCTAAATGAATATCCCACAGGGTGTGCATCAGCCGATGGGAAAATCAAAAACTCGATTGGATTTCGGATATAGAAATTAAGCCCCAATTTTTGGGGTTTTGGATTGCTTCAGGTTTGGGTTGGTCGGGTTTTGGGTTGAGGACGGTCGGGTTCGCGTTTAGCTATAATGCAAAAAATATATCTATCATATCCAATCGATTTTGACGATGAATTTAATCGATTTAGAGAATTGATAAATCGATAGCATGTTTATAAATTAGAAAAAAACACGATCGACTAAGATTTTTAGAATTTTCCAAAGATAATTAGATAAATAAGTATATTTATATAGTATTTAATATATATATATATATATTTATATAGTATTTAATATATATATACATATATATACATATATACATATATATATATATATATATATGTATATATATTTCAAGTTTTCAGACGGGTTGGATGGCCAAAAATCAAACCCTACCCGAACCCAAAATTTCCCCGAAAAAGTCGGTTTTTGGATTTTCAGATTTCGAGACATTTGGGTTTTACATAAATACCTTATTTTCCTATACTTCTTTTGACATACGTAAATATGCGATTCAGATCAACCAACGCTCCAAAAAGGGGTCACTAATGAAATACCGCATTTATAAGCCCATTTGCCCCGAAATTTAGACAAAAATGAAATTGTAATGCTAAGATCTTCGACAAGTAATATTTTAGTGATAAATTGGATCTGATTTTGCAGTTCTTTCTTCTACAGTAATTCGACGTTACATGAGAGTGGAACTTTCTCTTTAGCTATTCGTGACCAAGAACCACCGGTTTCGCTTGGTGATGCCTTTGTCATTTGATCCAATAGTGTTCCATTAGATATGAATAGATTTGATAGAGGTCCACTAAAAATCATAAATTGTTGAATAAACAAACTCTATTTATTCGTGTGGATGGCAGACAAACCTATATTTCTTGGTTTCAATAGGGTTTGGGTTTGGGTTCGAATTTTGGATCATTGGATTTTGCACATCCCTATTGTTATGATACAAGCATCAATTTTGAAAAAAAAAATGAAATTTTATCCGTCATGTCTAAACAATCTTGTTTTTTAACATAACGGAATAAATAACATAATCACCTTGTGGTCAAGAAGATTCAAATGCGATGACTCCGGACTACCCGCAAAGCAAGTGATCATCTTATAATTAATTAGACTGCATAACGAGTTGGATATCCAGATTAATAAAAAAAATAGTTACTTATTAGTTGTTTGAATAAAATAATACAATATTATAATTACCATTTGACATCTTTATTATTCCATCCCTTTATATATACCAATAATTGCATGACAAAAATGCACAATTATCTCATACCTAAACAATTTTGTTAAATATCACATCAAATATTTAATTATGAAAATAGAAGGTTTAATTTTTATTTTTTTAAACTTATTTTGATTGGTAGCATCATGATATTGAAACATTTATGATATTGAAATATTCGACTATTTCTTATCATTATTTCAGAAACAAAAATAATGGGTTGTTTATCGAATATTTACTGGGTAAGTATTTATCTTACCTTCATTTACCTTGTCGGATAACATTATTGGCTATCAAAATGAATTATTTTTAAGTGTCTTTATCCACTAAATGCTAATCAGGGTAAGAGTCTTCTCCTTCACTTGTCATGTAAGAACCTTGGTTATTGTATGCATCTTACTGAGTAAGATTCTCAGTAATTATCATGCTCACCAAGTGGGTAACTTATGCTTAATAAATACTTATTTCATAACGGCCCCTAAAACAAATTTCACTTAATTCTAATTAATTTTGCCCTTTTAAAAATAAAATAAATATATATATAAAAAATACTACATTCATTGTAAAAATAAACACAAACAATTGGTTGCATTAGTTTAAAACTTGTGGATATTATAAACAAAATTATAGAAAAGAGGGTGAGCATGTATAAAATAAGAGGCCGTTTACGAAACACTTATCTAGTAAGTGTTTACCGATAAAATTCAACACTACCTCTTAGTCACGAGGTAAGACTTTAGTCCACCAAAACGGTATTGTATGCAAGAATTTACCTAGTAAGCACTTACTATGGTAAGAGTCGTCGCCCTCACTTACCGGGTAAGACTCTCGGACCTTGTCTCCCTCTTACCGGGTAAGATTCTTGGTCCTTACAATATTCATCCTATAAGGTAATATAACTTGATAAACATTTATTCGGATAAGTATTTAGTAATAGGTGTTTTTGAGCTTGATATAGTGTTTGTTTTTGGACTTTGTGAGTGCCAAAGGGTAACCCTAGGCAACCATGGGCATGTGTTGGATCCATCACTAGTTTTTCCTTACATGATCCAATAATTTTAGTAATAGGTGTTGAAAACGAAATCATATTTAATATAATTAATTTTTTTTAATTTAAACAAATTAAATTATAAAATAATATTTTATTTATCTTTTTATATCATTATATACATATACTAAAAAGGTACGAGCGCAATACACCGATATATATCTCAAGCTTAATGTTTTGTTTTATTCCGTCTATGTAGATGTTATAATACGTTATTTATGTGGTTTTGAGAAAGATACAACGTTTTTATTTTTGAATAAAATATAAAATTGAAAATATTATAGAATTTCGGGAAAAAATATATTTATCAATATTAGTATCAAATTAACTATTTCAAAATTCATGTTTTTTTGTGTAATTTCTTTAATTCAATTTTTTATTATAACTTAATTTAGATAATAATAAAGTAATTTATTTTTGATCTTATAATATAATTTTTTATAAGGATAATAATTAAATATTCTGTCATAAATCAATGATTATTCTAATTATATTTTAGATTTTTTATGTTTAAAATGAAGATCGTGTTGATTGGGGACTCTGGTGTGAGGAAAACCAACATTTTGTCTAGGTTTGCGAGGAATGAGTTCTTTTTGGAGTCCAAAGCCACCATTGGCGTTGCATTTGCTACCAGAAATCTCCAGATTTTAATTTCTTCGTTTTTTATTGATTTTGCTTTGGACATAGACACATTGTGATCTTGTTTCGGGCTTGTGTTCTTCTGTAGCTGATCTATTTGTTCTTTTAATTGTCTTTGCTGATTATTATTGTCCAATGTCACACATCTGAAGTTTAAGTTGCTATTATTGAATATATGCTGATAATATTAGATCTTCAATCACAAACACAATAATGATGAAAAGATAGAACACGGTTTCGACGTGGTGAATCCACAGTCGATTCTAGGCGTTGATTATGTGATTCCTGAACCCTGTTCAAGTGTTTTTTGAAGAAAATATGCATTTGGTTGTCATAACCGACTTATTAGTATTCTTGTAAAGTTGAATCCATGAAACAATCAACAGGT